TTTTGCAACTGATCTGAAAATCTGAAATTTTAAATATTAAATTTTATAATAATTTTTAATTTTCTTGTTTTTCAAGTTATGTTGGTAATCATTTAGACAAAGTTGGAGCATTTGCCTAGTAGATTATGCACAAAAACCTGCAAAGCGTTAGAGAAAGTTTGAAAAAAAAGATCGATTGCTTGGTTGTTGTCTGTGGTAAAGTAAGGGAATACACGCAAAACACAAAGTATGAACAATGAAACTTTAATTAAACTGAAAGCAAATTAAAAACAAAGACAATTCCTTGGCTATGTACAGTGCAAACAAACAAGTCAAAAAATATAACATAAAAATTAAGAACAAGGGTGACGTTACTCTAAACATAAAATAAAGACAATGAAATAAGCAGGTGCTGAGAATAAAGCACTAGCTGAGAAACATCCACCTGATAGACAGAGCGTATATCAGTTAGTTGTTTACAGCTTGAGAGCACAAGATATTCTAACTTCAATCACTGGTTCAAGCCCAGACATCGACTAAGTAGAGGGCGCTGAGGTGCAGGTGTGCAGTCGGCAGGTCACCAATCAGAAGCAGGCAGGCTGGGAATGGTAGTTTGCTGGTTGATGACGGTGGCGAGCCGGCATGGAGGGAGTGTGGAGTAGGGGGGAGTTTAGGGTACATTTGCCTTCTGGTCAAAACGTTTTGTGCTACTGGTAGACGTATCTTGAAGGTAGCATCTTATTGTTGTATATATATAAGTAACTATGTAGGGAAGAGCAGGCTCAATCTCTCTTGAAAGAGATTATTGTCACAAAATATTATATATATATATATATATATATATATATATATATATATATATATATATATATATATATATATATATATATATATTAAATATGACCGAAAAAGTAAGATTAATAATTCTAACACGAATTTTCTCAATCTTTCGTACATTACGCTTCACTGTTGGAGGTAAATCAAAAATCACTTCTCCAAAATTCATTTTTATTTCTAGTCTGACGCGACACGGGCGCGTTTCGTAAAACTTATTACATTTTCAAAGACTTCACAAATACACAACTGATTAGAACTTACTGGTGTAAGTTCTAATCAGTTGTGTATTTGTGAAGTCTTTGAAAATGTAATAAGTTTTACGAAACGCGCCCGTGTCGCGTCAGACTAGAAATAAAAATGAATTTTGGAGAAGTGATTTTTGATTTACCTCCAACAGTGAAGCGTAATGTACGAAAGATTGAGAAAATTCGTGTTAGAATTATTAATCTTACTTTTTCGGTCATATTTAATAATATATGTCTACAGGAAAGACTGCTACCAAAATATACTAATATATATATATATATATATATATATATATATATATATATATATATATATATATATATATATATATATATATATATATATATATATATATATATATATATATATATATATATATATATATATATATATATATATATATATATATATATATATATATATATATATATATATATATATATATATATATATATATATATATATATATATATATATATATATATATATATATATATATATATATATATATATATATATATATATATATATATATATATATATATATATATATATATATATATATATATATATATATATATATATATATATATATATATATATATATATATATATATATATATATATATATATATATATATATATATATATATATATATATATATATATATATATATATATATATATATATATATATATATATATATATATATATATATATATATATATATATATGTCGTACCTAATAGCCAGAACGCACTTCTCAGCCTACTATGCAAGGCCCGATTTGCCTAATAAGCCAAGTTTTCCTGAATTAATATATTTTCTCTAATTTTTTTCTTATGAAATGATAAAGCTACCCATTTCATTATGTTTGAGGTCAATTTTTTTTTATTGGAGTCAAAATTAACGTAGATATGTGACCGAACCTAACCAACCCTACCTAACCTAACCTAACCTATCATTATCGGTTAGGTTAGGTTAGGTAGCCGAGAAAGTTAGGTTAGGTTAGGTTAGGTAGGTTAGGTAGTCGAAAAACAATTAATTCATGAAAACTTGGCTTATTAGGCAAATCGGGCCTTGCATAGTAAGCTGAAAAGTGCGTTCTGGCTACTAGGTACGACATATATATATATATATATATATATATATATATATATATATATATACACACACATACACACACACACACACATATATATATACACATACACACACGTGGACAAAGGAAGAACTGGATGACAAACGAGAGGGCCTCATAATGGTCATGAGAGATATTATTGTACAAGCAGATAAAGATAAATCACGACTGTTGATACTGGGGGACTTCAACTTTAGAGCAATAGACTGGGAGGCCTATGAAGCAAGAACGGAGGACTTTTGGACATGCAGATTTGTGAACCTCATTCTGGAGACATTCTTGTATCAACACATAAAGCAAGCCACAAGAATGAGGGAAGGAGATGTACCGTCAGTACTGGATCTAGTATTCACCAGGAAAGAAGAAGAGATTTTTGACATCCAGTACCTTCCTCCCTTGGGAAAGAGTGATCACGTCCTGTTAGACATTAAATATGCTTTAAGATATCATCTAGAAGAAAATGGGGACATTGAAACAGTTGATAAACTCGATTTAAAGAGAGGCAACTATGGGGAACTTCGAAATTTTTTTAATGAGTGTAATTGGACAGAATTGTTGGTAGGCAGGGAAGTAAATGAAATGTATGCCAAATTTTTAAAACTATACGAGGAAGGCACACAAACATTCATACAAAAACAGAGATGCAGGACCAGAAAACAGGATTGGTTCGACAGAAATTGTGAGAGGGCAAGAGACCAAAAGACACAAAAATGGAATCAGTATAGGAAGAGGCCAAACCCCCAAACATACCAGCGATACAAAGATGCGAGAAACAACTATACAGCAGTAAGGAGAGAGGCAGAAAGAAATTTTGAAAAAGGGATAGCAGATAAATGTAAAACAGAACTGGGCCTATTCTTCAAATTCATAAACAACAAATTGCAGGTAAAGGATAATATCCAGAGGTTGAAAATGGGAAATAGATTCACGGAAAATGAAAAGGAAATGTGTGAAACATTAAATGAAAAGTTCCAAAGTGTGTTTGTACAAAATGAAATCTTCAGAGAACCAGACACAATAAGAATTCCAGAGAACAACATAGAGCGGATAGAGGTGTCTAGAAATGAAGTGGAAAATATGCTAAAGGAGCTCGGGAAGAACAAAGCAGCTGGCCCAGATGGCGTTTCACCATGGGTTCTGAGAGAATGTGCATCTGAGCTCAGCATTCCACTTCACCTGATCTTTCAGGCATCCCTGTGTACAGGAATCGTAGCAGACGTGTGGAAACAGGCTAACATAGTTCCAATCTACAAAAGTGGCAGCAGGGAAGACCCCCTCAATTATAGACCTGTATCATTGACAAGTGTAATAGTGAAAGTATTGGAAAAGCTAATCAAAACTAAATGGGTAGAACACCTGGAGAGAAATGATATAATATCAGACAGACAGTATGGTTTTCGATCTGGAGGATCCTGTGTATCGAATTTACTCAGTTTCTATGATCGAGCCACAGAGATATTACAGGAAAGAGATGGTTGGGTTGACTGCATCTATCTGGACCTAAAAAAGGCTTTCGACAGAGTTCCACATAAGAGGTTGTTCTGGAAACTGGAAAATATTGGAGGGGTGACAGGTAAGCTTCTATCATGGATGAAAAATTTTCTGACTGATAGAAAAATGAGGGCAGTAATCAGAGGCAATGTATCGGAATGGAGAAATGTCACAAGTGGAGTACCACAGGGTTCAGTTCTTGCACCAATGATGTTTATTGTGTACATAAATGATCTACCAGTTGGTATACAGAATTATATGAACATGTTTGCTGATGATGCTAAGATAATAGGAAGGATAAGAAATTTAGATGACTGTCATGCCCTTCAAGAAGACCTGGACAAAATAAGTATATGGAGCACCACTTGGCAAATGGAATTTAATGTTAATAAATGTCATGTTATGGAATGTGGAATAGGAGAACATAGACCCCACACAACCTATATATTATGTGAGAAATCTTTAAAGAATTCTGATAAAGAAAGAGATCTAGGAGTGGTTCTAGATAGAAAACTATCACCTGAGGACCACATAAAGAATATTGTGCAAGGAGCCTATGCTATGCTTTCTAACTTCAGAATTGCATTTAAATACATGGATGGCGATATACTAAAGAAATTGTTCATGACTTTTGTTAGGCCAAAGCTAGAATATGCAGCTGTTGTGTGGTGCCCATATCTTAAGAAGCACATCAACAAACTGGAAAAGGTGCAAAGACATGCTACTAAGTGGCTCCCAGAACTGAAGGGCAAGAGCTACGAGGAGAGGTTAGAAGCATTAAATATGCCAAAACTAGAAGACAGAAGAAAAAGAGGTGATATGATCACTACATACAAAATAGTAACAGGAATTGATAAAATCGACAGGGAAGACTTCCTGAGACCTGGAATTTCAAGAACAAGAGGTCATAGATTTAAACTAGCTAAACACAGATGCCGAAGAAATATAAGAAAATTCACCTTCGCAAATAGAGTGGTAGACGGTTGGAACAAGTTAAGTGAGAAGGTGGTGGAGGCCAAGACCGTCAGTAGTTTCAAAGCGTTATATGACAAAGAGTGCTGGGAAGACGGGACACCACAAGCGTAGCTCTCATCCTGTAACTACACTTAGGTAATTACACACACACACACACACACACACACACACACACACACACACACATCATACATATATATATACACACACACGCCATGCGCAGCTTAAGAGTTAAGGGTATCCTGAACTACACATAAATGAAATAATTTCAGAATTATAATGTTATGATTAACGGGTTACGCACATGCTAAAACATTTACAAGGTAGTTACCCCTTCGAGTTGTGAATCGGCATCTCTTGGAACCCAAGTGCTGAGGACACCAAGCCTCTGTGATGCCACCAGTGGCAGAGGGAGGAAGTGACTGACACTGCTCATGTCCATGCCACAGTCCAGCATCAGCGTGCAGCTCTTGAATGTCACCACATTGCATGGTTTGTTTGGGTGCCCACTCAGGCAGTACTGAAATAAAAGAACATTAAAAGTATACAACAAAATGAATTGGAGTGTGTAAAAACTAGCGTTGAATGTAATGAAACGCCCTTTTCTGGGTAAGACCCGGAGGCTCCCCAGAGCTATCCAGGCTAATATGGATATACTGTAATAGACTTTGGCATCAATGTGAATTAAGTTCTAGGCCTACTGGGGACCACAAGCCAGAACCTGGCCCCCCTCAGAGAGGCACAAGGAGCAGTGGCATATAAAAACCCCTGTGTGGTTGGAAGTATTCTATGTCTGTCACTGACTGGGTCAGGCACCCAGAAAGGTAAGTATCCCAAAACAAACAACTATTCTGGTTAAGAAATTGCTACTGAACGCCAAACTAGTGGACAGAATCCACCCCCCCCCCAAAAAAAAAAAAGCAAATGAGCATAATGTCACCATGTCGCCGCGCCACTTGTCAGTGCAGCTCCCCTCTTCTCGAGAAAGGGCAAGGCCCAAACCCCTCACGCTGGCTATCCACACCCCAGTTCTGAGGCTGGACTGTCAAAAACACCTGAAAAATTGTTGACCGGAGGGATGAAGGGTTGCCGGTGAGCCTCTGGGTTTCACCCAAAAAATGGCATTTCATTACATTAAACACTGGTTTCCTGGGGAAAGCCCCTTCAGCTCCTCGGAGCTACTTACCTAAAGACAGTAACAAGAGGGACTTACCTCGGAGGTGGTCGGCACTCGCCCCTCAACACAAATCAGCCCTCCCATCAGCAGAACCCTCACTAAGAAGGGAATATGAGAAGGGACAGAAGAAAGTGAGTCTCAAGGTAATGTACACTAACATAGATGGGATTACAAATAAAACAAATGAACTTGGAGAATGGGTACTTGAAGAAAATCCAGACATAATAGCACTCACAGAAACAAAGCTAATGAAAACCATAACAACTGCAGTGTTACCACAGGACTACTGTGTTGTGAGGAAAGAGAGAGAAGGAAGAGGAGGTGGTGGTGGTGTTGCTCTGCTGGTAAGAAAAGGCTGGGATTTTGAGGAGTTAGTTATTCAGGCCTATGAAGGTTTCAGTGACTACATAACAGGTGCCGTAGCAACTGGAAGACAAAAAACTATAGTCGCAGTCATATATAACCTACCACTAAATGACAGAAGACCCAAACAGGAATATGATAAAAAAAACATGGCCACCATTAACATAATAGAGAGAGCATCTCTTGCTAGCAGGAATAGATCTGGACTACTAATCATGAGGGCCTTCAACCATGGGAAGATAGATTGGGAGAACAGAAATCCACATGGAGAACCAGATACATGGAGAGCTAAGCTGCTGGACGTGGCAACAAGAAACTTTCTAAGCCAACACATCAAGGGACTTACAAGAATGAGAGGGGAAGATGAACCAGCCATGCTTGATCTGATATTTACCCTCAATGAGTGGGATATAAAGGAAGTTAACACTTTAGTCCGGGCACGATGCAGCATTGCGTAATCCGATTACTGTCGGTAATCTCGGTGATGACGCAATGCTGCGTCCACTAAAATAATTGCCAAAAATCAGGTTTTTATCCGATTTTTTGGGGACTGGTTTTAAAATGCGCGCCTATCGTGATGGAACAACCTCAGTGCAGCAGGTAACTGTCAACAAACCGAATGCAATCTGTGACTACAATACAAACATGCAAGGTGTTGATCACTTTGACCAAATGATCTATTATTATCACTTCACAAGGAAAACTCACAAATGGACGAAGAAAATTACCTTCTATTTTGTGCAAATGGCTATCTACAATGCTTATGTGATGTACAACTACTACACAACATATAGAAGGACTCCACTAAACATTTGTGGGCAGGAATTGGGAGTGTAGCTGGAAGGCGTCTGGGCGCTCACTCGCGGATAACACGTGGCCGGTCTTCAACTCGTCGGCGGGTGGAGCGTGACCAGGTTTTTTATTTTATATGCTAATATTCCTCTAGAGAATTCTATTGCAAACCCATTGATACCATAATGAAAGACCTAAGACGAAAATTGAGGTGACCAGAGTGAAAAGAGTGAACACATTTTATCGCTTTTGTGCGCTCCTGGGTAACTCGTTCGCACTTTCTCTGTTTGCTGCGGGGGTAATTAGCCGGGCTTTTGGAGTTTACATGCACTTAGTGCTGTAGAGAATTCTATTGCGAACACAATGATACCAAATTTAATCTTGTAGGACGAGAATTGAGGTGACAAAGTTGAAGAGACTATACACTTTTCAGAATTAAAGCGCGCTCCCGTGAAACGCTGGGACCCACTACGCACAGTTGAGGGGTGGCGCACTGGGTGCACGAAAGTGTTAAGATCGAAGCACCCTTGGGAATGAGTGATCACAGTGTATTGATCTTTGAGTACTTGGTAGAGCTAGAACTTATCTCTCAAAAAAAAAGTACTAGGAAACAAAAGGCTGGCATACCGAAAGGGGAAAGGGTCCGGCCAGTATCTTCCAGGTGTATATTATTTGATATCTCTCTCGTCTTTTTTCTAGTGAGTACATTTGAAGGGCTTTGAGACGATCCCAATAATTTAGGTGCTTTATTGCGTCTATGCATGCCGTATATGTTCTCTGTATTCCCTCTATTTCAGCAATCTCTCCTGCTCTGAAGGGGGAAGTGAGTACTGAGCAGTACTCAAGACGGAACAACACAAGTGACTTGAAGACTACAACCATTGTGATGGGATCCCTGGATTTGAAAGTTCTCGTAATCCATCCTATCATTTTTCTGGCTGTCGCAATATTTGCTTGGTTATGCTCCCTAAACGTTAGGTTGTCAGACATCATTATTCCCAAATCCTTTACATGCTGTTTTCCTACTATGGGCACATTTGATTGTGTTTTGTACCCTGTATTATGTTTAAGGTCCTCATTTTTACCGTACCTGAGTACCTGGAATTTATCACTGTTAAACATCATGTTAATTTCTGATGCCCAGTCGAAAACTTTATTAATATCAGCTTGAAGTTTTTCAATGTCTTCAGCCGAGGTAATTTTCATACTGATTTTTGTGTCATCTGCAAAGGATGATACGAAGCTGTGACTTATATTTTTGTCTATATCTGATATGAGAATAAGGAAAAGCAGCGGTGCAAGGACTGTACCCTGAGGTACAGAGCTTTTAACTGTGCTCGGACTAGATTTTATATGGTTGACCGTTACTCGCGGACTAGATTTTATATGGTTGACCGTTACTCGCTGAGTCCAGTTTGACAGAAAACTGAGTATCCAGCGTCCTACTTTACCGGTTATTCCCATTGACTTCATTTTGTGTGCTATCACGCCATGGTCACATTTATCAAAAGCCTTTGCGAAGTCTGTGTATATCACAGCATTCTGTTTTTCTTCTAATGCCTCAGTGACTTTGTCGTAGTGCTCAAGTAGCTGTGAGAGGCACAATCTTCCTGCTCGAAATCCATGTTAGCCTGGGTTGTGAAGGTCATTGGTCTTCATGAAATTGGTGACCTGACTCCTAATCACTCTCTCAAATACTTTTATAATGTGCGATGTTAGTGCAACTGGTCTATAATTCTTTACCAATGCTTTGCTCCCTCCCTTGTGTAGAGGGGCTATGTCTGCTACTTTAAGTGCATCTGGTATCTCCCCCGTGTCCAAGCTCTTCCTCCACACTATACTAAGTGCCTGTGCTACCGGCACTTTGCATTTCCTTATAAATATTGAATTCCATGAATCTGGACCTGGGGCCGAGTGCATGGGCATGTTTTCAATTTCTCTTTCAAAGTCTAGTGCGCTCGTGTTGACATCAATTATATTTACAGGGGTTTGAATATCCCGCATAAAGAAATTGTCTGGATCTTACACTTTCATGTTGTTTATTGGAGTGCTAAACATGTCCTCATACTGCTTTTTTAGGATTTCACTAATTTCTTTGTCATCCTCCGTGTATGAACCTTCACTTGTACGAATAGGTCCAATACTGGCGGTTGTTTTTGCTTTTGATTTTGCATATGTGAAGAAGTATTTTGGATTTTTCTTTATTTCCTGAGTTGCTTTCTGTTCTAACTGCCTTTCTTCAGTTTGATACGAGTGTTTCAATTTCCGCTCGATTTCTTCAATCTCCCTATTTAAATTATTCCTTCTTTGACGGGAAATTCGTGTCTGCATAAGCATTTCCGTTATTTTTTTTCTTCGTTTATAGTGTCATCTGCGTTCTCTTTCTACATTGGATCTCTTTCTGGCTTTCCTCAAAGGAACATGTTTCAGACAGACAGACTTGATACGCTTCCGAAGTCAGTTTTTCTATTCCTTCTTTAGGACTTGTATTACTTAGAACAGTTTCCCATGGAATGTTTGTAAGTTCCCTGTTTATTATCTCCCCAGTCTATCCTTTTATTATTAAAATTGAATTTACTGAATAGCCCCTCTCGCTTTATCAACGTTTTAGGTCTATTCTGAGTATTGATGGTCGGTTGCACTTCAATGAGCTTGTGATCTGAGTATGTGGTATCTGATATCGTAATGTCTCTGATAATGTCTTCATTGTTCGTAAAGACCAGATCTAGAATATTTTCATTTCTCGTTGGCTCCGATATCTTCTGGTTGAGTGAAAATTTGTCACAGAATCTAAGTAGTTCTCTAATCTGTGGTTGGTTAGGTCCTGATAGATTTCCTGGTATAATATTATTGTTTGCTATTCTCCACCTGAGACTAGGCAAGTTGAAGTCACCTAGGAAGATAATATCAAGTATCGGGTTCTCCAAATTATCAAGGCTATTCTCTATTTTGTTTATCTGTTCTGTGAATTCCTCAGCCGTTGCATCTGGCGGTTTGTATACATATTAGAATAATCACTAAATTTATTTTCTCTATTTTTGATCCCAGTACCTCTACCATCTCATTTGTAACGTTAAGGAGCTCCGAGCATACAAGGTCTTCCCTAATATACAGACCCACTCCTCCATGTGACCTAATTTTCCTATCACACCTGTATAGGTTATATCCTGGAATCCAGATCTCACTGTCTAAGAATTCCCCTGCATGGGTTTCTGTGAAAGCTCTAAATACTGCATTTGACTCTGTGAGGAGGCCATTTATGAACTGTACTTTATTATGTGTTCTTGTTTTCAGTCCTTGTATGTTGGCAAAGATGAATGAGGTTACTCTATTAGTGATAGTTTGACTGGGAGACTTTTTCGGCAAGCCCATTAGGCGTGGACATATTGAGTTTTTTCTAACCAGTGCTGATTGTTGTAGGGCAGTTGCCTGTCGTAGTTGTAGTTCCCTTTCGGTGTGTAATTGTATCTGTAATTCTGGAATGCAAGTGGATCTGGCATCCAGTTCCATACATTCTCCTTGCTCCTCCTTTTGAATTCTCTTTCGGTTTGGTATAAAAAATTTATCGAGTTTCCTCCAAATTCATTATCCTGCTTGCCACTCTTTATGTGGCGTTCCTTGCCTTTCACGTGAAAGTATGGGCAGCTGAGGTCATAGCATTTTCTGTCCTCCAGTGAGGTTTGGCACATGTCAGGATGGAAAACCTACATATTGATCCAAATCGACACTCACCTTTCCTAAGCATATTTAAACATTTTTGGGATGTTGGTAACTGCATTCTAATCCATTCTTATTACCAGCATATCTATGTCTGCATATGCCCTTTGCATAAAATTTGCATAAGTCTGTCCTGGTCTGACTCGCTCTATCGGGAACCGTTGTAGTGTCTGAACCTATCTTGCTGTCAGTGCTGTCTGTTACACTTTCTAGTTTACTGTCATCTACATCCGGACCTACTGAGTCAGAGTTTACAACTTCCTGAGTTTCAGCTTCAGTTTCATCCCTGACTATAGCCTCCGCCCCTGGTATATTAGAATTGTTGTTGTTCCTTTCCCACTCCTTCTGGATGGCTGGTAGGCTTCCAATGAATGATGTTTTCCGATCATGCGTCATGTTATCTAGAAGGTTTTTTAGGATATTCCAAGCTGGCAGGTCATTTTTACACACCCAGAGCAAGTGGCCAGCTCTCAGTGCCGTGGTGTTACTCACTCCTGTACAAGCCGAATGAAATCTATTCTTACAGATATAACATTCAATTCCCGTTGCTTTCGACTTTAAGGAGTTGTTACAGTGGCCACAAATTTGTTTATTTACTCACATTTTGCCTTGTTTTGTTGTATATATCTATATATTTATAATATTATATGTATACCGTATATTTGTAATAATATATATGTTTATTTGTTCTACTGTATGGTCAGTACTTATCGCACGGTCGAGGGCGAGGGTCCCAGAGGCTGTACAGTTGACACGTTGTTGTCCCAGGCCGCCGGCTGGAGGCCGTCAGTTGCCAGTTACTTGAGTTATAACACTGATATATGATATATGCCAAAGTCTAATATATCCATATCAGCCTAGATAGCTCTGGGAAGCCAAAGTGGCTTTCCCCAGAAACACCTATAGGATAAAGTTACAAGAACCAATCTCTAGCCAGCTCCTGAAAAAAAACTGCACCTCCTGCGTTGGAAGGTGAAATGCTAATTTCTGGGTAAGCCCCGGTGGCTCCCTGAAGATATACACCAAGATGGTTCCCAGCTACCAGATCCCATCAGCCATGGATTTCTGAGGCCTACTAGGGACCAGAGCCAGAACTTGGCAAGATGGTGAGTGCTATTGAACACATTACGCAAGAGCTCTGTATATAGGCCAATAGTTTAGAGGAGACACAAAATGGAGATGTACTCTATCTAAGTTTGATTTACAAGTATGGATACATAGCCTACTGTGATGCTCCTTCACCTGGAAAAACAAAGTTTCTTTAGATGAAATAACATTCATTTCATGTGTAGTCTCATCTGTTGAACGTTTTCTGTGTACAACAAAACCTTCTATTGTTCCACTATTTACTTTATAATTGTTCTATTGTTTACTGCTTTATTATTTTACTATTGTTCATTTTAAGTAAAATTATATAAATTAATGCAAAAGTTTGCTTGTGCCTTTTTGCAAAAGGCATATTAATTCAGACAATGTTGAATGTAATTTGTCCTAATTTTGCATAGGAGTAAATGATATCCAAAAAGTGGCTATAGACAATCTGGTTTTACCATGAAAATCACTCCAAAACACACAAAATAGTTCATGGGGGTTCTGGAAAGACACAATAGGTGAAGACCCTTGTGGAGCTCACAAAACCCATGGTGTTCAGGATGTTGGGAAACCTCAAGAAGGTTGGCAATATAGTACAGTAATAGTGAAGATATTCAACCTGTGTCAGCGTAGAGTAGGGTTAGTAAAGATCATGCATATTACCAGTTTGTATTAAAAAACCCTTTTATGCCTTTTCTCCATTCTAGGAGGAGACCTGGTCGACGACCGGGCCGTGGGGACACTAAGCCCTGGAAGCACCTCAAGGTAATGCCCGAAAGTTTATGCCCGAAACGCTTTGCGTAATAGTGGCTTTAGGCATTGTATGTACTAGCCCTAACTATAAATCCATCACTCTTTGTAAAATCTCTTTTATGTATGTACCTTACCTAAATAAACATTTTGATATTTTGATTTTTTTTGTAACCTCAAGGTAGGACCCTATTTTTCACTAAGGGGTAAACAAAATACTGTATAAATAAATCTAATCATCTCTCATATTCATGTTGTTGTAACCCTGATGCATCTAGTCAATTGTATGGTTTTCAGGTTTTGAGATAACTTAAACTATCCAGGCTCAGTAGGACTCAAAGACATCAACCTCCAGCTTTCTGTCTGCTTCAGTGCCTGTCATAATAATCCAAAAACTCTTTATAAATCATTTTCAAATTCAAATTCAAATTTTTATTCAGGTAAAAGTACATACATAGATGATAAGTTATAAACAATGTTAGATTTATTGATAGAGCTAGTACATACAATACCTAAAACCATTAATACGCATAGCGTTACGGCAAGGTGTGGAAGAAAAAAAAAAAAAAGACACTTAGACTAAAACTTAATAGTAATTGAGAATAAAGTATAAATTGTATTGAAATAAGGAATAATAAAAAAAGGGGAGAACATGGCAGAAATCAGCAATTAATAATAATAATAATAATAATAATAATAATAATAATAATAATAATAATAATACTGTAATAATAATAATAATTTATTTAGGAAAAGTACATACAGTACATAGTTGCAGAGATACAGTACAAACATTCTGTTTGATTTAAAGATAGAGGTAGTACATACAATACCTAATGCTTTATCTGGACTGCCACAAAAGGTTGTTGGAGTGTTTATATTTTTCAATTTGGTTACTTAAACAGTGTTGTTTTGTAACTATGTCAAAATGTTTAAATTTTTGGCAAAACAGGATGAAGTTGACAAATGTACTTGTAACTGGTCTATTCCTTACGTTGGTCAAACCTTAATACCAAGTGTTGCTTAGGTGAAGAACAGGGGTTAACCCTCCTGAATCCATGATCTTTTCCCAGAGCCTTTCTCCGATCTTCATGATTACAAATCAACATACACCTGGTGACAGAGGTGAAAATCTTCACTATGCACAATTCTGACTGCATGCAATTTTCACTAAATACTTCATTAGCCTATATGATATTAACAACACCTGCTCCTCACATTCACAACTGAATGGAGATCCTCTTTGCTCTATCCCTTATGATCTATGATTTGGTGATGAGCATAAGGCCTATCAATCTAATAGCATAAGGTGAGGATGTTGAACAACCGCGGACCTCTGATGTTTATACAGTGTTCTCTGATTGTGCCAATGGCACCCCTGCTCTTCACAGGTTTTATTCTGCATTTTCTTCCATGTCGTTCTCTCCAGTATGTTGTTATTTTACTGTGTAGATTTGGGACCTGGCCCTCCAGTATCTTCCACATGTATATTATTTGATATCTGCTTTGGAGAAAGTTCAACACGGAATGACAAAAATCATCCAAAAACTAGGTTGACTCACATACCAGGAATGGTTGAGGGCCACAGGACTAAGATTTCATTGACTAAATACTGAACAGAAAACAGGAGATGCACTTTTACCCAGTTTTCAGGGTTTAAAACCCCATTGAACAGCCTACCCGCCGAAGTCGTAAATGCAAAGACATTACTTTAGTTCAAAATTCAGTTAGAAAAACTCTCAGGAATAATGGGGGGAACTTTGACAAGTTGCCGGCTTTCTGATCCCACCAAGGCCACTTGAGAAATGGTGGACCTCAGGTAAAATCAGGCAAATTCCAGAATTTTATCAATCTAAACATGACTGTAAACGCTAAAAGCCTAAACTACTCAACAACTCTGACCTCAAACACTATGAGCTTAGTTCTACTATGGGATGCGAGAGTCTACATAGTACAAGATCAAGAGTCCTCACTTTACACAGTTTTGCTCTAATTAATTCGTCGTTAGGAAAATAAGATAACTTACCAGCTTCATGACGCCGCTCCACCGGTCAGCTGTTGTCCAGTGTTTGTAAACACTCACAACGGGCCTAAAATAAACACTTCAATCAACTTATTAGATGAACTTATAGCTAGTTTTTTATCTACACTTTGTAATCTTTCATATATAATAAGGTAGCAGCACATGGCTGTTTATATCTAAGCGTGTTAATAAATAAATAAACTTCAATTATTTTGTTTAAATTCTGTAGATAAGATTTCATTTCACTTAATTTTTAAATTGATTAGATTTATTTAATTAGAATATATTTTATTCGTTTTATTTAGTTTTATTGTTTTAATATGTAGACACCCAACCCACAAATCTGAAAATTTCATTTTTTTTTTTTTACAAAAAAATATTTACCTGAGAGCCACTAACACTCTAGTGGCCACTTTTTTTTGTGTGTGTGTGTACGTCTGATAACATACTACTTGTGAAGGAGGAAATGTATATGTTTATCTCTCAGGATGTTTGATAATATGTTTATTTGTGATGTGTGTCTATGTATGTATTAACACGTTGTACTGAATGGGGTGAGAATAGCTTGAGCTACCTCATCCCTTTGTGTGTATTTTACCTCAATAAACTTATTTCAATTTCAATTTCAATTTCTAGTGGCCTCGACGAGAACAGGAAGCCGACAGCTTGTCAGAGGTTCTCCCATCTGTCCTGATAATTTTGTCAAGCTGGACTTAAAAATTCAGCAGTTTTTTTTACATGTACAGTTTCGGCGGGTAGGCGGTTCCGTGAGTTAATAACCCTGTGGGTGAAGAGCCCACGAGACGATTAGACGAGCCAAAACTAAATACTGTCCAATAACGATGGTCAGCTTTCAGCCTCTGATTCTGCTATTGAGTTCAATAGGTTCTTCTCTTCCATTGGGTCATCCCTTGCAAATGATATTCCATCTTCCAGTACTGATGTTAAGGACTATCTTACAGGTAACTATCCACAGTCTCTGTACCTAAAGCCTAACTAATTACTAACATAAGCTTTCTGAAGCTTGTGTAGCTTGTGGTAATTAGACGGACCGCTGCGGAGGGATTGGGGGTGCTCCGACGGAACCACCAAAGTGATAAGCCAAGAATACCAAGAATTGGAATTACCCATTAATATTATTTCTGTATAATAATTTATGGTTATTCACTAATCATTATTAGTCACCATAATTAATTATCCACTTTAATTATCTATTTATTCGTTATAATTAGCTTATGCTTCTTCATTTAAGGATTATCAATTATAATCATTTATGATTATTATTATTTTATGTAATAATTAATTATTATTATTATTATAAAAATAAGTCCCCCACTCGGTGAGAGTTTTCTTCCAACCGCAGACATTCATTCACATAAACAGTGGATTTACTAGCGACTGCAGATGAGATAAGATAATATATATAAATATATATTGAGTCACACAATCTTGGAAAAAAGAGACAATGAAATTCGGACATACAGTATAAAGGGATTCATAAGGTAAAAAAATATTAAAGTTGAGAACCACTGATTTCTGACCAGGGGGAGAAAAATACTGGCAGTATGGGGCGTTAAAGTTTATTGAAGGTTAAATTCTGCAGAACATGTAAATATATAAAGTTCAAATATATAAAGTAAGTAATTATATAAAATTTATATTAAACACGGTTTATATTATAGACTTATAACAAAGTTGATATTATATTAAACTTAATATTGAACATGTAAATATATAAAGTTTCAAATATATAAATTAAGTAAATATATAACGTTTATATTAAAATATATAAAGTAAATATATAAAGTAAGAATTAACAGTAACAATTCCAAGTCCGAGGACTAGATTTAACTTAAAAGGTACACCCGTAGTAAGTATGAGACCTTAGCCTATAGTGACATGGAAACTAATTCTGCAGAAACCTAAAGGTTAACTGGTACTAGAATTAAGGCCGAGTGCAAATGTGTAGTAATTATATAACACTAGGATATAACAGGCAGGACACAAAGAATAACTAATAAGTGAGAGACCACATAACACGTAATGTACCCGGCCAAGAGGCCGTAAAAGACCTAATGGATAAGGAGAAGGGGGTGTGACTACAAGTAGGGCTTACTAGCACCTAGACTGGGCAAAGTATTAGCTGCGGACAGCGGGACACTTGGGGACCGGCGCTGCACCCCCCTTCCCACATGCAGTGGGGAGACAATCGGGACAACTGTGCAAAGCATGACGGGGGTACAAAAGCAGCCGCTTGCAAAGGGAGGGAGGGTGGGGTTTTGCGAGGGCAGCGGCGAGGGCAGGCGGAGTGAGGCAGAGCCCCATTGTGCGCCCGTATTTATACGGCCCCAAACTGCCCGCGCAACGCCGCGGGACGCGCTGCGCAATTGTTTCTTTCTCCCCCGCCAGAAACATCCCCGCTTGCGATCAAGCAGTGACCATTTTAGAGCCTACGCCAAACACTGGAGTCTGAGGAGGGTGGGGAGGAATTAGTACTAATAGCATTAGTAATTCTTTCACGTCTACAAAGGTAATGTCTACCTTACCTGATAACATTCATCGAAAGTTACAAAAACTTTTTATTTATAATTTTATATATATTGTACATATATATATATATATAAATAATTTATATATAAATTTACAGGTGTAATTTAGAATCATACATTTTGCTGTTATCCATCTCTTGCTTTCAGCCTACATTAAACAGTACTCAAAATCCAACTAATTTCTGGTGATTAAAATAAATAGGATCTGGTAGTCGATACAGATTTTTTTATAAGCGTGGCATTGTGTGTGGATATAAAGATTTATACATTATTTACATCCTTGGTGTGTTGATGTGGGATGGAATCGGTCCCAGGTATGGGATGTACTCAGTCCCAGGTGTCGGATGGAGTTTGTCGTTGATCTGGGATGGAATCGATCCCTAGTGTGGAATGTAGTCAGTCTGGTGCAGGATGGCGTTGGTCCTTAACGTGGGATGGGGTGGGTCCCTGGTGTGCGATGGAGTCATGTCTTGATGTTGGACTGCAACGGGTGTTGACATTGGGTACGTTGCTGGGCGAGAAGTAGTGAGAACTCTGAAATGAGGCTGGGAGCGCTGGCAGCAAGGGTTGACCAGGAAGGCTGCACTGTCACCTCTGCTGCCTGTAGGAAAGATACATGTAAAGTATTAGATACCATCACGCCATGGACGTTGCCAGTTGCTGCATGAACGCACATAGATAGTCTATGTGCGTTCACATGTATGTTAACTCATAGCGTTAGCGTGCCCACGCAAAATGACAAATAATTATGATAAGCGAACAAAATAATTTTGTTTTAAAATAATTTAAAACATTGAAATTCGCTATACTCATTCCCTTGAAAATAATCTGTCACAAAAGGCAATACAGTGTACATTTTAACAATGAAATCACACCGTCATATATCTGGGAAAATATTATGACAATAGATAGAGTCAACTGGCATCTCTGGCCTCCCCAGACAAATGTACTACCCACTGTACCATGATGGGCTAAAACCATCTCACCCAGAAGGTCTACCAGAATTATTTGGAGTTTGTATCAGTGAATCATCAGCATTTTAGTGTTTGTATAGATGCCTTAGTGTGGGCGGGTATCTCACACTACCTACACCTAGTGTGGGTACGAGCTGGCGCCTTCCACACACTAAGTCTAGAGAGAACTTACGGTCGAGATACATTGTCAAAATCTGGGATAAATTATGAGTTTGGAGAACGTCAAATATGAAAGTAGAGAACGAAAAAATTTACATTTATCCTTACAGGGAGATAACAATTTATGTCACGCTGAGAGCAACTTTTCTGATAAGCCTACATTTACTACCTAAGGTGAGCTATGCTGTCCAACAATGTGCTTCACCTCTCTAAATACATATCTGAATGAGTTAATCCCGTCTGTGATGGATGACTGAACGAGCGTGATCCACACTGCACGACACAGCAAAGATCTAGAGACGTCACTAGAGTTGTCGTTCCTAGCGAGACATCATTCCATTTGAATATATAGTGTGTGAAGGTCTACTATTTCATCTAGTCGAAGTTTAGGCCACGGGTGGTACACTAGTACAACACTCAGTTTTGTATCACAAGACGAAAACGCAGACTTTCACACACACATTCACTACAAATGTAAGTCGCGAAGTTAGGCTATGGTCAAGAAAAGCCATGATGTGCGAGAATGTGGGCACAAGAGGGACAATACGCACGTGCTGGAGGGCATATTGGAGGGCGGCCTCGCGGAGCCTTGCAGCCCCATATTTGTGCGCCAGCAACAGCATGTCGGGGGCGGCGGTGGGCGAGAGTTCGGCCGCCAGGTGGTTCTCACACGCCCACACCAGGTCGTTCACCTCGTGACGCAGGCCAGCTACCAGCAGTGGTCGCGCTAGATGGCCCAGGTCGCTGCAATCACCTGCAATAGTTCAGAACATAAAAACTTGGGAAGTAAGAAGCACTGCAATAAGCCTACTGCTCCATACGATGAGGATACAATTTAAATAGAACCATTCACCTCATGACAAAATTTGGAGCAATATTATGGAATGTACCCAAGAGGCAATAGTATCTTGGGTGCCTCTGGGATGACCAGAGGAGCAAGTTTAATCCCACAGCATTACTCCAAAAAATTGACCAATAATATATGGGATATTGGGTCAAAATCTGGGTTAAATTATAAATTTGGAGAACGTCAAATATGAAAGTAGGGAACGAATACAATCCGTATTCTAAGAGCCTGCTAAGCTCATATCTTAGTACTTATAGTAAACGCCTAACCATTAGGCTAATCCACTTGTAACGCTCAACATTAGATTAATGAAATGGTGCGAAATTTTATATTTGTGCGAGTAAAGTTGGTGGTAAAGTTAACTTAAGCGGTCAATATTGCCGAAAAGTCAATACTTCCAGTAAACAATTCCTTAAACATATAGACTATGCAAATTATAATATTTTTGTAACTATGACTTAATTAATTACATAAACTTTTTTTCTTACCTATGTAAATCCACTCCAGAAGTTGCTGCGTGACGGAAGACGACATATTCACTTTAACAAACTCTTTCTTGGTGGGACTTTTCAAACTTCGAATTTCGAGTTGCTTTAGTGGTGTACTTGACTCACCAGCGGGGAAGCATATGTCACGATCTGATGAAAGGGGTTCCGTGTGAAAGGTATCAGATGGTTCTCGATCATGTTTTTTTTCTGGAGCTCTGAGCATTCTCCTGCGAGTTGTCTCCGCAATGGTGGGGCTAGGCGTGCTCAGTTGCTTACTGGACGTCAGCAGTTTGCTTGGAGTCATGAACCGCTTGCTAGGAGGACGCGTGCTGGGAGACAGGGAACGCTTGGTGGGAGACAAAAGACGTTGGCTGGGAGGCAAAAGACGTTGGCTGGGAGACAAAAGACGTTGGCTGGGAGACAAAAGACGTTGGCTGGGAGACAAAAGACGTTGGCTCGTAGAGAAAAGATCCTTTTTGGGAAGCGTTGTATTGGGAATCGGAAGTTTGCTGGGAGACATCGTGCTGTTATTTAGGCAGCGTTTGTTGTTAGTCATGCCAGGCTTGCTGGGTGTTCTACTAGGATTAAGACATCTAACAGGTGAGCCGATGATAGTTGGCAACGAACTCACCTTTGTTTGTATAATTGAAAGTCTTGAGATCTGCGATTTCCCGCAATTGGTGCTGGAAGAATCTGGCGACATTGAGGTTACTGAACGGTGTGTTGATGCTACTCCTTCAAAGGTACTGTCGAGTGGAATCTCTGCTCTTGTCGGGGAAGTCTTAGCACTAGGCGTCCTCGTACCTGGAAGGGGTATTGTGCTGGCATTTTCGCATTCACGAGTCTCTGTCGTAGACTGAAACTTTTGCAGGAGGAGGTTCGAGCGGGTACTCAGTATTGCACAGTGAGCTGGCAGCCTCATGCCATCACTTGTTAATACTTCAATGTCACTGTACACTCCTGTCTTTTGTATTTTCAGTAAGTGGAGAATCAGATCTTCCCGGGAATCTAGTCCTTTAGCCAAATCATTTTCACTCACCACAAAGCGTAGGTGAGCGGTCAGCACATCATCTTTCAGGAGTTTGAACACATCAAGGGTCATCCTGGAAACGAGAATTCCCTGCCATTTATAGCCACCATCGCTAGATCGTGCCAGCCTCTTCTCGTGCTGATCTTTCCCTTGAAGACGGCAATACACCTTGAAGTCAGGACGATTAATATTACATTGCAAACACTCCAGCGCTATTCCAATGTTCCTGTTCATGGGGTCTTGGCTGGGACACACGTTTTCTTTCATAAAGAGTGTGAGCGTGGCCTGCCAGCTGGTTCGCACACCGTTCACAGACAGTTGGAAGTCAGTGGTGAAGGTTTCACCGAGCTCCTGGTAGGAGAACTGGGGAACGGTGAGAGTGTACTTCACCTCAGCTGAGCTTTGCACTACCTCCATTTTTTTTAGATGTTTTAGACAACCGACAAAGATGAACTCTAAAAAAGAAAAACAAATTACTAATAAAACAAAAACTAATAAATCAATACAGCCAAAACCTACTTACATTAGAAAATTAAAGAACATTTAAATTACAGACTGGCTCCGGAGGCGGGGCTTTAAATATTCGACCATGTAGACGAGTACACAGCCGGGACCTCATCTTACACATTGATACACTCCCAGTTGTGTACTCTCCTACGTGTGCTCGCACTGTCGACCCCCACAACTCATATACTAGCAATGTAAAGTTCTGAGGCTAGGTAAAGATGATAGAGTTACAAGATACGAGCTAGATGGTGTTGAGATTGTGAAGTCGGATTGCGAAAGGCATCTGGGAGTTATGATTAGTAAGAATTTAAAACCAAAGGATCAATGCATGAATGTTCGTAATAAGGTAAATAGGACACTGAAATTTATTAATCGAAGCGTTAGTAACAAGACACCTTGTGTGGTTCTTCAGCTATATCTTGCTCTGGTTAGGCCCCATTTAGATTATGCAGTTCAGTTTTGGTCGCCGTACTATAGAATGGATATAAATTCACTTGAACGCGTCCAGCGCAGGATGACAAAGTTAATTCCCCAAATTAGAAATCTTTCATATGAAGAAAGATTAACAAAGCTGAAATTGCATTCACAGGAAAGGCGAAGAGATAGGGGTGACATGATGTGAGGTTTACAAGTGGGTGAATGGACATAACAATGGGGATATTAATAGGGTATTAAAAGTATCAACACAGGACAGAACACGAAACAATGGGTATAAATTGGACAAGTTTATATTTAGGAAAAGACCTGGATAAATACAGGTTCGGTAACAGGGTTGTTGATTTGTGGAACCAATTACCGCGTAACGTGGTGGAAGTGGGGTCCCTCGATTGTTTCAAGCGTGGGTTGTACATGTATATGAGTGGGATTGGGTGGTTATATATACGAGTTGCCTCGTATATAACACGTAATGTCTAGACAGGTTAGTAACGTCTGGACGGGTCAGAAAAGTCTGGACGGGTCAGAAAAGTCTGGACGGGTCAGAAAAGTCTGGACGGGTCAGAAAAGTCTGGACGGGTTAGAAAAGTCTGGACGGGTCAGAAAAGTCTGGACGGGTCAGAAAAGTCTGGACGGGTCAGAAAAGTCTGGACGGGTCAGAAAAGTCTGGACGGGTCAGAAAAGTCTGGACGGGTCAGAAAAGTCTGGACGGGTCAGAAAAGTCTGGACGGGTCAGAAAAGTCTGGACGGGTCAGAAAAGTCTGGACGGGTCAGAAAAGTCTGGACGGGTCAGAAAAGTCTGGACGGGTCAGAAAAGCCTGAACGGATCATTAACGTCTGGGCGGGTCATTAACGTCTGGGCGGGTCATTAACGTCTGGGCGGGTCATTAACGTCTGGATGGGTCAGAAAAGTCTGGATGGGTCAGAAAAGTCTGGACGGGTCAGAAAAGTCTGGACGGGTCAGAAAAGTCTGGACGGGTCAGAAAAGTCTGGACGGGTCAGAAAAGTATGGACGGGTCAGAAAATTCTGGACGGGTCAGAAAATTCTGGACGGGTCAGAAAATTCTGGACGGGTCAGAAAATTCTGGACGGGTCAGAAAATTCTGGACGTGTCAAAAAAGTCTAGACGGGTCAGAAAATTCTGGACGGGTCAGAAAAGTCTGGACGGGTCAGAAAAGTCTGGACGGGTGAAAAAAGTCTAGACGGGTCAGAAAAGTCTGGACGGGTCAAAAAAGTCTAGGCGGGTCAGAAAATTCTGGACGGGTCATTAACGTCTGGACGGGTCATTAACGTCTGGACGGGTCATTAACGTTTGGGCGGGTCAGAAAAGTCTGGACGGGTCAGAAAAGTCTGGACGGGTCAGAAAAGTCTGGACGGGTCATTAACGCCTGGACGGGTCAGAAAAGTCTGGACGGGTCATTAACGTCTGGGCGGGTCAGAAAAGTCTGGACGGGTCAGAAAAGTCTGGACGGGTCATTAACGCCTGGACGGGTCAGAAAAGTCTGGACGGGTCATTAACGTCTGGGCGGCTCAAAAAAGTCTGGACGGGTCAGAAAAGTCTGAACGGGTCAGAAAAGTCTGGACGGGTCAGAAAAGTCTGGACGGGTCAGAATAGTCTGGACGGATCAGAAAAGTCTGGACGGGTCAGAAAAGTCTGTACGGGTCAGAAAAGTCTGGACGGGCCAGAAAAGTCTGGACGGGTCAGAAAAGTCTGGACGGGTCAAAAAAGTCTAGACGGGTCAAAAAAGTCTAGACGGGTCAGAAAAGTCTGGACGGGTCAGAAAAGTCTGGACGGGTCAGAAAAGTCTGGGCGGGTCATTAACGTCTGGACGGGTCATTAACGTCTGGGCGGGTCATTAACGTCTGGGCGGGTCATTAACGTCTGGGCGGGTCAGAAAAGTCTGGACGGGTCAGAAAAGTCTGGACGGGTCAGAAAAGTCTGGACGGGTCAGAAAAGTCTGGACGGGTCAGAAAAGTCTGGACGGGTCAGAAAAGTCTGGACGGGTCAGAAAAGTCTGGACGGGTCAGAAAAGTCTGGACGGGTCAGAAAAGTCTGGACGGGTCAGAAAAGTCTGGACGGGTCAGAAAAGTCTGGACGGGTCAGAAAAGTCTGGACGGGTTAGAAAAGTCTGGACGGGTCAGAAAAGTCTGGACGGGTCAGAAAAGTCTGGACGGGTCAAAAAATTCTGGACGGGTCAGAAAAGTCTGGACGGGTCAGAAAAGTCTGGACGGGCAAGAAAAGTCTGGATGGGTCAGAAAAGTCTGGACGGGTCAGAAAAGTCTGGACGGGTCAGAAAAGTCTGGACGGGTCAAAAAAGTCTAGACGGGTCAGAAAAATCTGGACGGGTCAGAAAAGTCTGGACGGGTCATTAACGTCTGGGCGGATTAGAAAAGTCTGGATTGATCAGAAAAGTCTGAACGGGTCAGAAAAGTCTGGACGGGTCAAAAAAGTCTAGACGGGTCAGAAAAATCTGGACGGGTCAGAAAAGTCTGGACGGGTCAGAAAAGTCTGGACGGGTCAGAAAAGTCTGGACGGGTCAGAAAAGTCTGGACGGGTCAGAAAAGTCTGGACGGGTCAGAAAAGTCTGGACGGGTCATTAACGTCTGGGCGGGTCATTAACGTCTGGGCGGGTCATTAACGTCTGGACGGGTCATTAACGTCTGGACGGATCAGAAAAGTCTGGACGGGTCAGAAAAGTCTGGACGGGTCAGAAAAGTCTGGACGGGTCAGAAAAGTCTGGACGGGTCAGAAAAGTCTGGACGGGTCAGAAAAGTCTGGACGGGTCAGAAAAGTCTGGACGGGTCAGAAAAGTCTGGACGGATCAGAAAAGTCTGGACGGGTCAAAAAAAAGTCTGGACGGGTCAAAAAAAAGTCTGGACGGGTCAGAAAAGTCTGGACGGGTCAGAAAAGTCTGGACGGGTCAGAAAAGTCTGGACGGGTCAGAAAAGTCTGGACGGGTCAGAAAAGTCTGGACGGGTCATTAACGTCTGGGTGGGTCATTAACGTCTGGGCGGGTCATTAACGTCTGGGTGGGTCATTAACGTCTGGGCGGGTCATTAACGTCTGGGCGGGTCATTAACGTCTGGGCGGGTCATTAACGTCTGGGTGGGTCATTAACGTCTGGGTGGGTCATTAACGTCTGGGCGGGTCATTAACGTCTGGGTGGGTCATTAACGTCTGGGCGGGTCATTAACGTCTGGGCGGGTCATTAACGTCTGGGTGGGTCATTAACGTCTGGGTGGGTCATTAACGTCTGGGTGGGTCATTAACGTCTGGGCGGGTCATTAACGTCTGGGTGGGTCATTAACGTCTGGGTGGGTCATTAACGTCTGGGCGGGTCATTAACGTCTGGGCGGGTCATTAACGTCTGGGCGGGTCATTAACGTCTGGACAGGTAATTAACGTCTGGACAGGTAATTAACGTCTGGACGGGTCATTAACGTCTGGACGGGTCATTAACGTCTGTACATGCCATTAACGTCTGGACGGGTCATTAACGTCTGGACGGGTCATTAGCGTCTGGGCGGGTCATTAACGTCTGGGCGGGTCATTAACGTCTGGGTGGGTCATTAACGTCTGGACGGGTCATTAACGTCTGGGTGGGTCATTAACGTCTGGGCGGGTCATTAACGTCTGGGCGGGTCATTAACGTCTGGGCGGGTCATTAACGTCTGGGCGGGTCATTAACGTCTGGACAGGTAATTAACGTCTGGACGGGTCATTAACGCCTGGACGGGTCATTAACGTCTGGACGGGTCATTAACGTCTGTACATGCCATTAACGTCTGGACGGGTCATTAACGTCTGGACGGGTCATTAACGTCTGGACGGGTCAGAAAAGTCTGGACGGGTCAGAAAAGTCTGGACGGGTCAGAAAAGTCTGGACGGGTCAGAAAAGTCTGGACGGGTCAGAAAAGTCTGGACGGGTCAGAAAAGTTTGGACGGGTCAGATAAGTCTGGACGGGTCAGAAATGTCTGGCGGGTCAGAAAAGTCTGGACGGGTCAGAAAAGTCTGGACGGGTCAGAAAAGTCTGGACGGGTCAGAAAAGTCTGGACGGGTCAGAAAAGTCTGGACGGGTCAGAAAAGTCTGGACGGGTCAGAAAAGTCTGGACAGGCTAGAAAAGTCTGGACGGATCAGAAAAGTCTGGACGGGCCAGAAAAGTCTGGACGGGTCAGAAAAGTCTGGACGGGTCAGAAAAGTCTGGACGGGTCAGAAAAGTCTGGACGGGTCAGAAAAGTCTGGACGGGTCAGAAAAGTCTGGACGGGTCAGAAAAGTCTGGACAGGCTAGAAAAGTCTGGACGGATCAGAAAAGTCTGGAGGGGTCAGAAAAGTCTCGACGGGCCAGAAAAGTCTGGACGGGTCAGTAGTGTCAAGACGGGTCAGTAGTGTCAAGACGGGTCAGTAATGTCAAGACGGGTCAGCAGTGTCAAGACGGGTCAGTAGTGTCAAGACGGGTCAGTAGTGTCAAGACGGGTCAGTAGTGTCAAGACGGGTCAGTAGTGTCTGGACGGGTCAGTAGTGTCTGGACGGGTCAGTAATGTCTGGACGGGTCAGTAGTGTCAAGACGGGTCAGTACTGTCAAGACGGGTCAGTAATGTCTGGACGGGTCAGCAATATTACCTTAGAGCAGCAATATCCACAAGGGGCCTTGATGATGGTTGGTTATGGTGATCTCTGAGTATCCGCGCGAAGCTTCACTACAACACTCTTGCGGAGGAGCAACGTTCTCGCACCACAGCTGACAACTAACTGAGTGAGACCTCTACTTCTTGCGACTTTTATAGCAGGTTTGAATATAACGACCAGTACCCCTAGTCACTTAATCTCCACTAATCACCCTCCAAGTAATCTCTTAGGGTAGTCTCTTAGGTTACTGAGGTAAGCTACTTAACATGTGACGCTATTATCCCCGGGGCAAAAGTATAATTACATATAATCAACTGTAAACAGCTGTTACGCTTAACTGATAATGTGTCTGATAACTGATAATAATTATTAATTTAATATTTACTATTATAAAATAAACAAGTTCCCCAATCTGAGCGCGTTTTCTTCCAACCGCAGAAAACATCTTTGTCGTCATGACGTACTTCCTCCAAACACACCAGAATGGCCTGCAGTTCAGCTTGTGTGGATGATATATAATTACTAAGTCAGAATTCAATTATCCTGTTCACAGTCCCAAACTCAGTATATTCCCTTATTAGGACACCACACCCTACCCTGCCATCCTCTGCCACCGACCCGTCACAGTACATGTAAACTATTGCCTCATGGTAACCCAGATATCATACTTCCATACAAACACCGTAATTGTCCCGGTTCATGATGAATATTTTTCATCTTGAGGGGTACAATTTCGACGTCTATTTTCTGTACTTTCCAGGGAGCAGACCTATTACCCTGGTGAGAGGGTTTGCAGCAGTCAAGTACATCGTATTTCCTGAGGTCATGAGCTAATCCCCTCGTGTAGCGTATCTCCCTCAGTTTCCTGGAAGTGTGTACGTCACTCAAGCAGGTCTGAACGCTCTCAAACAGCTTATCCCCTCCTTTTCTCCGCATGAAACGAATAGATACTCTAGTGTTAATGTCACGGACTCTATCATACACACTCGGTAAATTTAATTTCATTCTCATTATTTCAATCATTGCATTTCTTTGACATCCAAGAATAATCCTCATAGCCTCGTTCTGTATCAGCCTTATTTTTTGAATTCTGCCTTGGCCTGTGTAAGACAATACGGGTGCTGCGTAGTCTATCAGGGATCGAACAGTGCTTATACATAACATCCACAAGACAGGTACCCGTAAACGTTTACCAGAAAAAGCCAGTGCTTTTAGAGGATGCAGACGGGCTTTACATAAGGTGCTGATATGATTTATTTCAGCATTTTTACTCTCACATGTGTATCCAACATACATGCCCAGATACTTGTACTTCTGAACACGGCTCAGTTCCACACCATTTAGAGTAAGTGTTATATTTCTTCGTTTCCTATACTCATATTTGGTTTTGTCTGCATTTATAACTAAGCCTAACTTGTGACAGGTTGTACCAAGTATGTTAAGAGCAGTTTGTATTTTGTTCCCAGAAGTGCCTTGTATAAGAATGTCATCAGCATATATGATCGTCGTGACCCCTGGAGGATACATCTCTGATGCTAATCTGTTCATTAATACATTGAATAAAGTGGGACTTAAAACTCCCCCTTGGGGGGTACCTAACTGGAACCTCCGTTCCTCAGACATGTATCCCTGGTAATACACCTGACCTTTTCTGCCTTGTAGATAATCCCTTATCCAGTGTAGCAATCTCCCTGTTATTCCCAGATTGGCTAATTCGTATAAAATTACTTCCCCATTGGCTTTATCAAATGCTCCTTGTAGATCAACAAAAACTCTACTATTGTCATCCACATTAGACAAACACTTTAAGAGACAATCCGCAGTACTTTTGCCTTTGATAAAACCAAAGAGATTATTGGACATGTTATCACCTACAAGGTAGAGTAGCCTATTTAACAAAATCCTTTCCATCAGTTAAGGAGACAGGCCTGTAGCCTCCGTTTGACTTAGGGATAGGAATGATGACAGCCTCCTTCCATTTTCTTGGTAACTTTCCCTCCCTATAACTCATGTTAAACAAATCAAGTAAGGGACTACGTTTCATACCGGCTAAATAACTAAGAATGTCATACGTCACTCCATCTTTCCCCGGAGCAGTAGAGCTGCCTCTTTTTATAGCATCCAGTAGCTCATCGTAAGTTATCTCAGTGCATGTTACAGATCTTGTATTTAAGGCACATAAAGTTATTCCATGTCTAATATTTTCCCATGACTCAATGGTGACTCTCGTGTCTGCAGGTAAGGACTCCATACCAGCAGCACTTGCCCATTTATCTACTAACTCATTAGCAACCTTCCCAGGATCTGAGTGAGCAATGAATTTGGTCTTACAACCCCTGATTTAATTTACTGCTCTCCATAAGTCTTTAAGGTTCTTAGTATTACCAATGGACTGAGCAAAGTCTTGCCAATATCTGTCCCGCGCCTCCTTCCTCACCTGACTGCATTCCCTAGGCACTTCCAACGTTGTATTTTTCTCTTCATCCCTCATTCCATTTTTTAACCATTCTTTATGTGCACTCCTTAGCATTCTCTCCCACCCCTTAATTAACTTGCTGATCATTGGAATATTTAAATTTCTTAGGTCCATGCGTCTTGCTTCCCCTGCCCCCGTTATTTTCTCTCTGTACTAATTTCTCTATATTCTCGACCATGTCCTTGTAAAAACTATCAACGCAGAGCGATTGTTGATACCAATCTCCCATATTTTGAATAAAATAATTTTTCATTTTCTGATCGGGGAGAAAAGCACAAGCCAGTATGGGGGACTTGTTTATTAATTATTGTATAGAGAACAACTGCTGTACCACAATATAATCTATGTCGTATAACATAACTGAGTAGTATACCAGTACTGCAAAGATGCAACTAAAGAGAATAAGTCGTAGCACATTATTAACAGAGCCTAGCGCCAGTTAGCCAATGCAATGTTGCAGTACACACAATCAGCTTAATGCTATAATTAAAGTACAACACCAGTGTTATAATTTGAGTGGCACAGCCAGTACAGTATGTATATACTGTACAGTATTGTACAGTATACAATGTACAGTATTGTATTTGTGCTGCTTTTTCAGTCATGTTCCCCCTTTTTTTTTATCTTTATTTGTATTTGTTCTCAACATCTTTTATTCTTTATGCTCAATTAGTATTAAGTTCTAGATATTAATGTTTTCTTGCCCGAAACGCATTGCGTAATAGTGGCTTTAGGCATTGTATGTACTAGCTCTATCTATATATCAATCCATTAATGTAACATCACTTGTATGTATATACCTTACCTGAATAAACATCTGAATCTGAATCTGAATCTGAATCTGAATATAAAATATATATTCTGTATACACAGAAGCCATAGAAAAGATAGATAAGAATTTCCAGGAATTTCCATATGCTAGTGCCTAGGTTACATGTAAAGTCTGCAACCCCCAACTTGCACTACAAGTGTGCACTTGACATATGGTAAGTAGCTGCGGGCAGCCCTAGACTTGGGGATCCGGCGCAGTACCCCCCGAATTAGTGCATAAAAGAAAAGCGTGAGGAGCGCTACTGGGCATAGTTGACCTGCAGGCAAGGGAGGAGGGCGGACGTTTCGAAGCGATGCGGGCCGGAGCTGGACGTAAATGAGGGAGAGACTCAGAATCAGAATATATACAGGATAAGATACCCCGAAGGGCGAGCTTGAAAGTGGGGACAGAAGAAGATAAGGGGGGTGAGAGGAAGAAGATTTGTAGGAGAAAAAGTGCCAGGGCTAAACCCAGCTGCGTGTCGTGTCGTTTGGTTGCGGCATTCGAGGCAGGGACTCAGTCGGGTGTTTCAGTGACAGCAGCAGAGACATCACAAAACTCACGACATCGCAGTGATTGGCTCAAAAGCGTCAGGGCTGAACTCTTACGGATGGTTTGTGCTGTTTGTTGAGAGTTGAATATGTAATGATGGTGGATGCTGGGTGTTGTGAGCTAAAGTTTATCGAAATACAGAGTTAGGAGGAGGATCATGGATGGTAGGGAAAAGGTTATGGGTGTTTCGTGGTAGCCTGAGAGTGTGTAGGAGAAAATCAAAATGTTGTTCATGATAAGTGAGTAGTCTATCAAGTTGTTTGTCTGATAAAGTTTTCTAGTAGACAACGAGGGCAAGAATATTCGTACTTTCATGGAGACTTTGATTGGTATTTAACTCTTGCCATCGGGTGTTGAGTGCCCATCTTAGTGCTCTATTCTGTATTCTTTGAAGCTTTAGTTTGTTAGTACATGCAGATAAAGTAAGAGCTAGTGGAGCATATGTTAGGAGAGGTATAATAAGTGCTTTGTAAAGGTGCATTTTTGTGTCAGGTTTTGCAAATCTAAGTCTGTACAGTTTTTTCATGGCTTGAAGAGCTATTGCATGTTTCTGTGTAATGTGTGTGTGAAAGAGTAGTTGTCGATCAACTGTGAGTCCAAGGACTGTGGAGGAGGGAGACACAGGACTGTGGAGGAGGGAGACACAGGACTGTGGAGGAGGGAGACACAGAGATATAAGTAGCCTTTGGAGTGTATGAATAGAGTTTAAGAGGAATAGGGCAAATAGTTCTTTTACAAAAAAAGTAGGTGATTTTGGATTTGGTGGAGTTGGTTTTAATACGCCAGTTATATTCCCATCCAGGGACAACATCAAGTTCTGTTTGTGCTCTGTTTGTTAGTGTATCAATGGTGTTGCTGGTGACAAGGTGAGAGATATAATCGGCGTAGCATATGGTTAATGAAGTGTGATGAACAGGGTCAAGAATGTCGTTGGTGTATAGGATATAGAGTGTTGGGGCAAGAACAGAGCCTTGCGGAACACCGGCATGTAAGTTGAAGTAGTCAGAGTGTTGTCGGGGGAACTTAATTCTCATTGTCCTATTGTCTAAGTAGATAGAAAGAAGTTCGGTGGTGATAAGGGGAAGATTAAAGTTGTTGCATAGTTTGAATTTTAGACCGTCATACCAAACAGTGTCAAAGGTTTCCTCAAAGTCCTTAGTGATGAGTGCAGTCTTAAGTCTTTGGTGCTGATTGATACTGAAGTAGTTGGTCATGATGCTTAAGGCGTCGTGATTGGACCGGTGAGGCCGAAATCCAAACTGTTTGTTAGTGAGTAAGTCATTGTCTTCTAGGTGGGTTCTAAGTCTCTGGTTGATCAGCCTTTCAAAGACTTTGCCAAGTGTCTCTAGAAGGCTGATGGGTCTGTAGTTCTTTGGGTCAGTGTGGGGTTTCCCAGGTTTTGGAATAAGAACGGCTGTGGCAGACTTA